GTCTCCGTGGCGGACTCGGCCAAGTACAGCCGCGCCTACGCGGGCCCCGCGCAGCCCTCCGTGGGCTCCGCGCCGGGAGCTGCGCGTGGACGGTGAGCGGCGGGCCGCCGGGCTTCGGGAGGCTGAGGCAGGAGGCTCGCAGCTTGGAGCCCAGCCTGGGCAACGTGCCGAGACCTCGTCTGGAAACTGAGAGTAGGGAGAGCTGGGGACGCAGCCCCGGGTTCCGGCCGCAGACCGCGCACCCGCTTTTCCGGCCCGGCCGCGGACGGCCCCGTCCGCTCTCCTCCCGCAGCCTGCGCCTCCGCCGTCCGCCCAGCCCCGCGGCGCTGACACCGCCAAGGGTTTCTCAGGGAAGCCGGGGACTGCTCGAGCCCAGGGCCTTCACGCTGAGCTGCATCCCCGGCCCGTTTTGTTTAATTCCATTCCATTCCATCCCACTCCCGTTCCATGACACCGTGTCTCAGTGAGTCGCTAAGGCGCCCAGGCTGGCGGGAGTTCCCTGCGCTGCCTCGCAGAGCGCGGGGATTACAGACACGGCCCCACGCCCCGCTAATATTCCTGTATCTGCTTAATGTCTTCCAAGTCTGTGCTGACGGCGCCCTTCTGATGGGTGCTTCTAGGATTTCCCTCCTCGATGCGATCAGCTTCTAAATCTGTTCCAAGCACGGGGTTTGGCTTGTTCATCCCGCCCCCGCTTGCCTGTTCTCTGTTCTGTAGGTCTCTGTCGGTATCAATCATTGTTCCCTTTCTTCTCTTTACTTCTTTTTGTTTGTTTGTTTGTTTGTTTTTCTCCGGTGCTGGGAACCGAACTCACGACCTTGGGCTTGCCAGGCAGGCGCTTTGCCGCTGAGCTAAATCCCCAGCCCCTCTTCTCTTTACTTCTGATTTAATTTTCCAGGGCCTGTGGTTTCACTTTTCAGAGTGTTGCGCCTAGGATGTAGATCAGTAGTAGAGTGCATGCTTAGCAGGTGCAGGGCCCAGGGCTCCATCCCGGCATCTCAAAAATGAAGAAAAACCTCTGCATTTTAAATGAAAAGGTCAAGGGCCGGGAATGCAGCTCAGCGGCATGAGCGCTTGCCTGGCAAGCCTGAGATCATGAGTTCGATTCCCTGGACTCAAAAGAAAAACTATAAATTCAGCTTTTTAAGTGATATAGGCTCGTTTAGGTTACCCATTTCTCCTGTGGTTAATTTTAGTAATTTCTGGCTTGAAGGAGACCATACATTTCGTCTAGGTTGTTGGTTTTCATAGTGTTTACTACCATCTTAGTATCTGTGGGGTCGGTTGCCGCGGCAGGTGCAGGAGATTCCTGCCGGCCGGAGAGACCTGAGCGAGGAGACGAGCAGCACCGACAGCAGAGGCCCTTCTGGAGGGCAGGGGAGCAAGGCCCCCTGACACACAGAAATGCGTTCTGCTCTGTTATGTACTTTTGCAATTACATGTGAAATTGGGCAGGTTAAGCAGTTTCTGCTTTGATACAACGAAATTTCTGTTTTGGTTACAGATTCCGACGTGGCTGACTGACCATCCAGCCAAGGACGCGGAGAGATCAGTCACTTCGTGTTCTTGATTAGGTGTAATTTTTCACAGAATTGTTCCCTTGTCTGCTGGACAACAGGACCCACATTTACAGTATCTCCACCTAGAGCCGGCCCAGCACACACAGGGTTCGCCTAATGCTCTCCCACGCACCGAGGCCCGCGCAGCGCTCCCCTCCGGATCTGGTGGGTGAGCATAGCCACGCAGGAGGCAATCTCCGCGGTGGCTTCTACTTCCCCTTTCAACCCCAAGGGGTGCCTTTCATCCTGGGCTCTGACTCCTTAACTGCTGTCAGTTCCGATCTTTCAGGTCCCCAGCCATCCTTTACCGGTAGCGCAGCAAGTGTCTGGAAAGCTACGATTAATACAGAGCAGAGAGGCCGCACGCCCATCCTATGCGGTCCCTGCCTTCGGATCCCCGCCGCCAGTCCGTGGAGGAACTGGCCCTGCAAGGCCTCGGCAGTCTGGCGTGTGACAGTCTGTTTCATTCTTGATACAGGCTGAGCCTCCCTTACCCAGGATGCTTGGGGTCCTGGCTTTCAGCTTCACAGATGTATAGTGAGGTATGAGGGAGGGGACTAAGTCTGAACGTGGAATTCATTGATGCTTCCCGTGAGCCCTGTAAACACAGCCCAGAGCTGGCTTTACGCGGTATTTTTAGGGCCCTGCATTTTGATTGTAACCCATCGTGGGTGGCTAGTGGAATTTTCCATTAGTAGCATCATACTGGTGGTCAGAAAGTCACAGATTTTGGAGCACTTCAGATTTCAAAGTTTTGGATGCTTAAGGTATAATTTGTTCCTTCTCACTTTATATGTGGGACAAGGTCTTGCTATGTAGTTCAGGCTGGCCTTGAACTCACTATGTAGTCTATCTGGCCTAGAACGTGAGGCAATCCTTCTGCCTCAGCCTCCCAAGTACTGGGATTAAAAGCCTCCGGCACCATGCCTGACTTTCCTTCTCACTTTTAAAACAACAGTGTGGCCAGAGGTTTAGCAGTGTTTGTCTTTCCAAAGAACCAGTTTTTGGTGTCATAGTTTTACTGGTTTTTGGTTTCCTGTGCCATCACTGTTCTTGCCTTCTGAGTGTGTGTGTGGGACTGGAGATCTAGGCACTCTACCAAGGAGCTATGTCTCTAGCCCCCCCCCCTCTGTCTTTTTGAGATAGGGTCTTACTATGCAGTTCAGGCTGGCCTTGAGCTGACTTTGTAGCCCAGGCTGGCCTCAAACTTGCAGTGATTTTCCTGCCTCAGCCTCCCCAGTGCTGGGATTACAGGCATGTACTATCACGCCTGGCTCCACCCGCTTTTTGAGACAGGGTCTCAAAGCCTGTAATACTCTTGCCTCAGCTTCCCAAAGTGCTGGGAGTACAGGCATGCACCGCTGTACCTGGCTGAATGTTTTAGGTTTCATTTGCTAGTGGAAGTGAAGGCTCAGATTTTTTATTTCATAATTTTTCTTCTTTCCCTCTGAAGCATTTTCCTGCTACAAATAACCTAAGCACTTATTAGGTATGTCTTTAATTTCTAAGTACTTGAGGATTTTCCTATCTTTCTGTTAATTTGAATCTACCATAGTCTTAGAACATGCTCTGAATTATGTAAATCCTTTTACATTGGTTAATGTTTGTTTTCTGACTCAGAATACAGTCTTTTTTGTTGACTATTCCCTGGGCACTTGAAAAAAAATTTGTCTTCTGTTGTTGGGTGGAGTAAACTATAATTTCGGTTACATCAGTTAGCTGAGGTGGTGCTATATCCTTACTGAGAGGTGAAGTCTCAAACTGTAATTGAGATTTTTTTCTGTTATTTCTTCATCTCTATCAATTTTTATTTATTTTTGGTGTATTACTAGGGGTGGAACCCAGGGCTTTCACATTGAGCTACATTTTAAGACATGGTCTCACTGAGTTGCTTAGGCTGGGCTTAAACTTGCAATCCTCCTGCCTCAGCCCCCTAAGGGCTGGGATCACAGGTGTGCCACCATGCCTGTTTTATAACGTCCCTCTTTATTGCTGGTTATGTCCTTTATTCTGTAGTCTTCTTGGTATGATGTTAACATAGCAATCTCAGTATTCTTTCATTGGGTTTTCTCTTATACTGTATATCTTTCTCAATTTTTTTTTCTTTTTTCTTTTGGTTTTGGTTTTTGTTTTGCTTTTTTGAGACAGGTTCTCATCATGGATTTCAGGCTGGTCTTGAACTTACAATGTAGCCCAGGGTGGCCTCGAACTTGCGGTGTTCCTCCTGCCTCAGCCTCCTCAGTGCCACGATTACAGGCATGTGCTACCATACCTGCCTTGAAGAATATTTTACTTTTTTTTTTTCTTTTGTCTTTTTGAGGCAGGGTCTCCCTATGCAGCTCAGGTTGGCCCTGAGCTCACTTTTTAGCCCAGGCTGGCCTCAAACTCGCAATGTTCCTCCTGCTTCAGCCTCCCGAGTGCTGTGATTACAGGCGTATACCACCACGCCTGGCTTTCTTTGCTTTCTTGCATCCATATATTTTTTTTCAATCCATGGTTTCTAATAAGAAACCTATGCTCTTGTATTTTGTCCACTTTTTAAAAATTTTGTCCATTTAATGTAATGCATTATTTCTCTTGGGCTACTTTTTAAGGTTTAAAATTTTGTTTTTAGTTTTCACTAGGTCGTGATGTCAGCAGGTGTCTGGGCATGGAGTTGAGATTATGCTGTTTTTGGATTTATTGAGCTTTCTGAATCTGTAAGTTTTACATCTTTTGCCGAATTTAAGCTTCCAGACGCTCTTTTTCTTTTCTGTGGTGAAACCCAGGGCCTTGTGCTTCCTAGGTGAGCGCTCTATCACTGCACTACACCCAGGTCCTCATTATTTCATTTTCTCTGCTATCCTCATAAAGAATAAAGTGGCATATCTGAGTACACTCAAGGTCTCATCAGTTTCTCGTGATTCTGTTCCGCAAGGCTCTTATGACATGGGTGCTTTCAAATGAGCATTTTCTTAATGGACTTTTCCTTTTGTAAAAATATGGTGACCACTGGGAGGCTGAGGCGAGGGTCACTTGAGTCCAGGAGTCTGAGATTCTCTCTTAAAAAAAAAAAAAAGGACTAGCAAGGCATGGTGGTGCATGCCAGAACTCCCAGCACTCTGGGAAGCTAAGGCAGGAGGATCAGAAGTTTAAACCCCACCGGGCAACTTAGCAAGACCCTGCCTCAAAACAAGAGACATAACGTTTTTGTTGTTTTTTTGTTTTTTTCCCGGTGCTGGGAATCGAACTCATGACCTCGCGCTTGCCAGGCAGGCGCTGTGCTGCTGAGCTAAATCCCCAGCCCCTAAGAGACATAATGTTAACTGAAGTGACTCCGACACATAAGCTCAGGTATTGCATGGTTTCTCTCATATGAAAATCTCAATATGTACAAAGTATGAAATAAAAGACGGATAATAGGGAGAAAGAAAGATAAAAGTCTTCCCTGATTTACGGTAGAGCTCTGTTCAGGGAGACCGTGGGTAAGTCGGCTTCGCTCGTGTGTCCGACAAGTGAGTCTTACAGTATCTGCGCAACTCCCAACGCACACGTTCCTTAAGTAAACCGGGACTTACTATATTTTAATCTGGTGTGGGCAATGTCTCTAAAAGTGTATCTTGATTTAGGACAATTTTTAAATGATTTTTGGCCTATTAGTCTGGTTTTCAATCTGTATATGTGATAATTAACTTTAATTATAAATAAATGAATAAATGACTTGATACTGGAAAAATAAAAGGGGTGTGGAGGGGAGGGGGTAAATAAAGGATTGAAATGCATTGTGCACATGTACCAGTCCCTATGATGAACATAATCATTATATACTACAAAAACATAGTAATAGTAAAAAAAAAAAAAAAAAAAAAGGAAAAAGGGCTGGTCTCTCCCAGCACTCGGGAGGCTGAGGCAGGAGGATCACTTTGAGTTTGAGGCCAGTGTGGACTACAAAGTGAGTTCAAGGTCAGCCTGAACTCCATAGTGAGATCCTGTCTCAAAAATAAAATGAAAACAAAATAAATAAATGTAGGGTTTCATAATGCTAAAAGAAAAAAGAAAAAGTAAAAAGGTTTGGAGATGGGGCCTAGTGTAAAAGTTCTTTTTTTTTTTTTTTTTTTTTTTTTTTTTGTTTTT